CCCCCCCCCCCCCCCGCCCCAAGGTTCTCCAACCATTAAGGGTTGCAGATTCACTGAGTGACTATATATCCTCTCATGTTAAGTACGGAGGCTGTTTAGATTGTGTCATATCTAGTGTGATCATCCAAGTCGGGGTAGACTGATGATGATTCTGCTCAAGTTGTTGTTTCAAGACTAGCCTTGGCTGATCACACTAGACATAGAACTGCTGAATAGAAAACCCGGCGTTCAAATTGCCTATCAAGTTGACATATATATTAGTGCAGCCAAAGGCCGGGCACTGGGTAAATCGAATCGCTCTGAGGCTGACTTTGTCTGCTTTGTTTGGCCTTCTAGAGGAACGTTTTTCACCTTATAAAGAAGTTCAGTTCAGAAAGTTTTGCCTGCCTGTGAAAACCACTTGTTTTCCTGCTGAAAATGTTAATGAAATCCCTGCACGTGTCAAAAAGAACTTTCACTCTTTATACATGTAAATATCAGTGAATGAATCTTTATTTCATTTGTTGCTGTTGTATTTTAGAGTAAAAGTGCCATGGACAAAGGCATTTGCTGCACTTCCGACAATTTGCTTTAGTTTCATGGTTTGTATTTTTTATGTCTATCAAGAAGTTTTACTTGTGTCGTGTAAGGTTCATTAGGTCTTCAATGTTTTGTTACATCGCAACTTTTGTCTCTAATGTGCCTCCAAGAATTAGCGCTGCGACTATTTTGTTCCATTATAAGCAAATAATGCTCTCTTCAAACTTATCAATTAGGTCATCTTTTTGCCATTAGAATACATTATTTTCATGATTGTATTCATAAGTATTTAAGCCACCACTCTAGGGAATTCACGTAAGTCTCATCGTGCTTTGGTGACTAGAAGAAAAGAAATGATTTATTCCTGTGTGATTTCTTTTATTTCATTCCCAAAGCCTCGGAGCCATGTTAGAATTTTAATAAATCGAAACAAGCTTATTGAACAGGAGTTTCAATAGCTGATCTTTTCTTCAGAAGGACGTAATGATAATAATAAGGTGGTCATATAAAAGCTTAATTGATAGGGTTCTACTGAACAGTGTACTGTTTTATAAACTTCAAGTGTTATTTTTGTTTTTTTGCCATTAAATTTCATTGAGTGTTCTATAGTGTTGCATTAAGTTGCTAATTCAGTATTATATATAAATATTTCCAGTGTCATGTACCTTCAGTAGCTGTGTATGCAGAACTCAGGAGACCAAGTGTACCTAGATTTGGAATTGTTACTGTCATCGCAATGACCATTTGCAATACAGTTTACACCTTGACTGGTTCATTTGGCTACTTAACATTTGGCACAACTGTTAAGAGTGACGTGCTTTTGAGTTATGACTCTAACGACGTTTTGGTGAATATTGCAAGAGTCGTGTTATCTGTCATGGTCTTGTCAACAGGAGCAATGGTTACTTTTTGTGGAAGGTAATCCTGATTGTGTAGTTCCAGAGAATATCAATACCTCCCCCACTGAGGGGATTTTTTCTTATACCTCCCGTTTACCCCTCTAGAAATTCCAATTAAGCTTGATACAATTCTTTAATGATTTCAAAGATTAAAGTTTAAGTTGGAACTTTTGTGCTAACAGGAGCCATAATCGGGGACTCCGTCCCCGATTGTGGCTCATGGCCGGTGCTAATTCTTTGTGCATTAAAACCGTTACTGCGCTCGTAATTCGCTTGTCTCGTCATGCCTTTAATGGTGTGCTATTGAGTAATGAACTGAACACCAACAGCGCTAGTGGCCTGACTGCCACAACTTTGCATCAAGTTAGTGATATTGAATATTCATCTATAGATCATTTTCTCACGTTTTATGAAAAGGATGGCAACATTTGGAATTACAGTCGAACCTCTCCACAATAGCTACCCGTTGGGGACAGAGGAAAGTGGGAGGTGGTGCAACATTCTCAAAAAAATATTTTAGCATATAAATAAGTCACACAATCAAAACACATCAAAAAAAAAACAGAAACCAAACAGAAACAGAGACCAGCTACGCGCAGTACGGATCCAAGTTTCGTAACCTTTTACAACAAAAAAAAATGGGGTTTTGTTTGCAACTGGCTTCAGTCATTGATTATCTGGCCATTGTTGAGGGCTTTTTGTGCTAGTTGGGGTGCGCTTTGGTAACCATTGCCGTTGTGGAGAGGTGGCCGTTACAGAGAGATTAAAATAAGAGTGGGTGTATGGACTGTCTGTTGGTACAAAGGAAAGTGGCTTGAAGAGAGAATTGGCTGTTACAGAGGTGGCCGTTATAGAGGTTCGACTGTATTTATGCAACAAACCCAGTTCTATAACATATAACAAGATAGGTTGCCTCTGTTTACTCATCTATCGAATATATCTGGCTAAAACCTGGGGAGACCATGTTGAGTTTCTTCTGCAAACTTTTAAAAGTCAGGGTATATTTTTCCACAGTCATGTTCTATCCTTAAAACAAAGTCAGTGTCACCCATTTTCACAAAAATGTCTCAAAGTGTCTTTTTCCACATGCTTTATGTATCTCTGACACATGTACAAGTCAATCATTATCGGACTGCAGTACAAGTTTGATATAAATCTTTTTATTGGAAGATTTTCTTGATTATTTAAATTTGATTCAAGCCTGTGTCTTACAGGAGCTGTCTAGAGGGATTGTATCTGGCAGCCTTCAGAATGCCTCCATCCTTTGCTGAGAAAAACGAATCAACACGACGTATTGTACAAACGTTAGTTTGGTTTACACTGGCCCTCATTACTTCTTTGTATGTAACAGACATACAATATGCGATAGATCTTATTGGCGGAATGACAGCATTGTTTATTTTTTTCTTCCCAGGTAAGCAAATCACTTGTAATGCAGAAGTATAATTTGAATGAAACTACGATAAGATTATTGAATGACTTCGATTGAGTCCAGAGGCTCTACCAGAAACTGTTGAAAGTTTGATTTTTAACCAATAAAAATTGTACAATTCAGTATAATCTGCTGCCCTGAAAAAATTGAGACTTTCTTTCACGGCTTTACCGTAACCTTATTATCGCACCTTATGGACAAAGTTGTTTCATGTTCTTTCCCCCAAGGACATCAAACTTCTCTACACTCACAAATTATACAATGAGCATTGATTGTCTGTTATTTGTGGCCTTGTGGAATTGAGGTACAGTTGAAACTTGTACGCGACCACCCAAAATGTCAAGTGTAAATGGTCGCTCAATATGGGAGGTGTGGTCGCTTAAGAGATGAAAGAGTGGAGGAGAGTGGGGGATGAAAGTCTTGATTTCTTACTTTAGTGGCCTAGCTTAAACGGTTTATTGCCTAAAATGCGAATTATCCTTTAGCAATCACAAAACTACAGTTGAACACGCTTGCATTTACACTGTGCATTTATTGAGGAAGCCACATTGTGCTCAGATATAAGTCCCATCAGGGTTGCGTAGCGTCACACTATACAATTTATGTTTGACGAGATGAGATCATGGGTCAAATAGTCGCTTACCAGAGGTTTAAAGCAATAATTAAATAACAAATTGTAAGCCTAAAAAGTGGCCGCAGTCCGGTTCTTATGAGAGGCAGCCACTTACGAGAAGTTTCCACTATGGTGTTTTCACTTAAGAACTTCGGTATTTTGGGAAAGTGGTATATATAGCTTACGGTCACTTACGAGAGGAAGTCACTCAGGGAGGTTTGACTGTATTTCGGGGTCTTTCCATTTTTCTGTTATTATTGCTGCATGCTACATATATTTATCATTTCACTGACTCATTCTTTTGATTCTTTTTGCTCTATTTTTTTGTTTTCAGGCATTTTTCTTGTTCAAGAAATGCTTCAGTATTCATTTCTCACAGCCACAAGAAAACTGTTGATTGTTCTTGGTCTCTGGTATGTTTTTGTTGGAGTGTTTATATTTGCAGAATCTGAAATGTTAGCCATAATGGAGGACATCAAAGGAAAAGGCTTGTACTAAGCTGATCACCATGGTGCCCAGCCGTTACTTTGCCAGCTTGCCCTGATGACAAACCAGTTCACACTACAAGTGCAGGATAACAAACTCTAAATGCCTGATCGATTATAATGAACAAACCCAGAGGTTTCATTAACGTGTAACTGTAAAATTTACTTACGTGCAAGTGTAAAAATATGTACAAATTGTAAAATATTGCACAATACAGTTAACCAACCGCTGTATCATTGTGATGTTATTTGGTCTAACGCTAACAAAACAAGTCTCTAGAGACTTCTTAGATTACAAAAGCGAGACGCTCACCTTATTCTGGTGAAAAGGATCAGAGAGGAATGCACTGAGTTTATTCCAGTGTCTTGGTTACTGCCCTTCCTATCTTGACAAGATTTTTCCTATTTACTCCCAAATTCATAGTCATTACACTTGAAGGAACAATTACATTCATAAGGCTAGGATTTCATCTCAATCTGGTGTAGAATCATTTTTGACTTGGAAAATAACATTTTCCAAGTACTTTGTGGTAACGTCTCGCACTAGGATGACTTCATGAATGTTTTCAACGTTGTCAAATCTCCTCGTGTATTCTCTTACTGTTGCGTTCTGCATTATTTCTTATGCCACTGGGATTTAACTTCATTCGTCGCCTCTCTAGCTCGATACATCATGTTTCGACATAATTTGCTTGTTTATACACCTAATTAGCCTTGATACATAAGCTGTCCACTTGTTTTGATCTAACTACATGACTATGGCTCTGAAATAGAGCCAAAATATTGTGAAAACCTTTTTGCATTGTGGTAAACCAAATTACTTGGTTTTCAACAATGTTAACAATCTTACTACCTGCTAAGTTATATAGAGTCTATATCAGAATCTTGACATTTTAATCTGAACATCTCTTTGTATAAAAAGAATTTCTCAAGAATTACTGGTCAGGGGTTTATTGTAGATTTCATGTATAAATATAATTAAAATTTTATGATTAACTGTGGGTTGTATTGGTATTTTATTGTTAAATTTACTTAGCTTAAGCTTTTTATACAGTTTCAATGTAAATCAGCGCGTAACGAACACGAAATTCCTATTGGCTAATACTGAGTAACTTATTAAGAGCGTAAATCCGACAATATCAAGAATCGGTCGACAGAAGCGAAATAACGAAATTTTTCTTCCCCAATTATGGCTCCTGATTTGACTAAAAGAACCCATTTGCTTAACTGTTTTCGGAATTGACATCAAAAGGTTCGATTTCCTTTTCTTTTCTTCAAAATTTGCAAAACTTGAAAATGCGGCCACAGGGCCTTCAGCGGCGGCCATGAGACTTGAAATTTGGCACATGTTTAACATACTCGTATGGAC